GTTTAATTAGCTATTAGGTCTATATATATAAAGTTACTATACTATTATCTAATAAAGGTAAGTAGGTAGTAAATATAATACCTTAGGAAAGTACTTATAGTGCCCTAACTAATATCCTACTTATATAGGTAATAATACTTAATAATTATATATACCCCTTTCTATCTATAACTCCTTCTTCTCCTCCTATAACTACTACTATAACTATAACTATAATAGTAGTAGTAGTAATAATAATATAACGCCCCTACCCCCCCCCTTCTAATAACTTTTAGGCGTGGTGCCTTACCTACTACCTACTAATACCCTACCCCCCTACCTTCTACCCCTATAACGCCCCACCTACCTACACGCCTAAGAGGGGCAAGGCGATATTACTATAGTAGACATATTGCCTTACCTAAGGGGAGTTACGCTCTAGGCGCTACTACCTAATCTAATAGGTAGTTACTACCTTAAGTGTATACTATTAAAGACCTCCCCCTTCTAAGTATATATATCTATTACTATATCTATAAACTATACTAATAGGTTATAGTAATAAATAGAAAGGTACCTAGAGTACTAGGTAGTAGCTAGAAGCTATAGGAGGTAAATATACTAGATAGTTACTTTTAATAAAATTAAGTTTAGTCCCTCTTATATTAGTACTAGGTTAAGTCTAAAGACTTAATCTCCTTATATTATAAGGTAATACCTAGTCTATCTAATTATATATACTACTTAAAAATAAACTTACTAATATCTATAAATATACCTAGATCTAATATAAGTATAGGGCCTATAGTAGTATTAGTATATAAAGGTATAATAATATATTACGCGTTAAACTATATAATCTTCTATTCTAGTATTTTATAGCCGTTCTAGTAGATATCTAGTAAATTAAAGGGTATATCCTAGATAGGGTTAGATTACTATACTACTTAACTATCTATAAGTAGTAATTATACAAGATAAAATATATTATCTACTGCGTTATTAGAGGTGTGCTTGCTAGTTATATTTTTACTAAAAGTCCTCTCTATCTACCTCTAGAGGTCGCCTATATACGCGCTATATAATATAGTTTACTAGAATACGTGTTTAATATTATACGTAGAGTTTTTCTTATTATAGAGGTCTAGCTTATAACTACTATTAATATACTTTAGTATAAGATTAATTAGCTTAAACTTACCTAGTAACCTAGTTATATTTACTAAACTAGAAGCTAAGATTAAGTATTAGAGGATATTATTATTAATAGGGGATAGATTCTAATAATAATATAGTATCTCTTTTATATAATTCTATTAGCTAGCACTATAGAATATAATAGTAAGGGGGTTTATAAGGCACTAGAGTATACTAATATTACCTACTCTTATAGCGTGGCGTAGAGTAAGGAATAACTCTACCTCTTATAGGAGGCAATATATAGAATAGAAGTCCTTATTAGGATAAGGACTCTTCTACGCCTTATATAATAGAATAGACTAGTAGATATCCTTAACTATTTATATAAACTACTCTAGGGTTTATAGAGAGATAACTATATCTACTTCTTTAAAGCTACTAGACCTAGAGCTATCTACTATTAAGACTCTTATCTAGACTATGTAATAGTAAAAGAGAGATATAATCTATACCTAGTATCCTTAGGTAATAATAGGGTCTATTAAGTAGAACTCTATATTATCCTAAGTGTTATAGACTAGCCTTAAGGGAGAATGCAATAAGCGTTGATAATAGTATTTAGTATCTTAAAGGAGAGGTAAGCCCTCCGCGCCTTTTTATAGGTGTGCAATGTGTTCGCTTAGTAGTGGTGTTAGACTTGGTCTGTCTTGTGTTAGACCTAGGCTTAGGCATAAGCCTAAGCCCTTCACACTAAGTACTTATTATATAGCCCTATTATATTATATTAATTATAAGGCAGTAATCTAACTTTAACTAGCCCTTCTCTAGTACCTAATATATATAGATAATAGTGTTTAAAAGGTTTATTTATACGTAAAACTATACTAATATAGGCTATACCTATTATTACTAATTATAGGTATAATAAGCCTGCTAGCTTTTATATATAACTATATAGATATAGTCTATAGTAAGTTAGTTACTATATAGAAGGAATATCTACTTAAGGAAGATATTATTAGGTATAGGGTTATTATAGATCTTATAGCCTAGCTAATCTAGAAATATATTATTATAAATAGCAAAGGTCCCTTCTATTAAGCTCTTATTATATTTAATTCCTATAAACTAGACTATCTTAGTCTTATAAGGTAGTAGTATATTAATAGTAGGAAATATTAGCTCTAGGTCTAGATCTTGCTTAAATACACTACGTATAGCGCTTAGATAGAGATATTATAAGGTGTCTATAATTAAGAACTATAATATCTACGCGCCTATATTATTACCCCTAGACACTACTAGGCTTAGAATAATATTAGCAAGAGATAGCAGGAGGGTTAGGTTATATATACCTTAATATAGACTACTAACTAGAAGTTCTATATATATAATATACGCGGTGTTAGTAAATAACTAGAATACTACTTAATTTCTAATATCTTTATAGCACTTATAATTAATAAAGTTAATATTATTATAAATAATAACTACCTATAGATTTAATATACTAGCACGTAATTTAGACTATACTATATATTAGTATATACTATAGGTATATATTTATAGTTATAAAGAAGAGAAGGTAAGGCTTCCTAGTAGGTAGGCTTATTAGTTAGCCTAGGAGGTTATAGAAGTTTAGAGGAGGCAAGGCTTACTAGTAGGTAGGCTAGTTAGTTAGCCTAGGAGGTTATAGAAGTTTATAGAAGTTTAGAGGAGGTAAGGCTTAGTAGGCTTAGCTAGCCTAGGAAGTTTATAGAAGTTAATAAAAGTTTATAGAAGTTATAGAAGTTTATAAAAGTTTATAGGAGGTTATAAAAGACTAGTAAAGGCTAGCCTTACTAGTAGCTAAGAAATTATATAAGTTAAGAACCTAGCGTTATATATACTATAGCAAAGTTAGCTAGCCTTAAGGCTTAGGTATTAATATACCTATATAAATATATAAGTCTAAGGCTAGATAATATCTCTATAACTTATTAAGGAACTCTAGAGGCTTAAAAATATAAACCTAAATATATATTAAATATATTAGAGCTTTCCTAAGTAAATAAATAGTATAGGATTATAGTAACTAAGAAGAGGCGCTTTATATATATAAGAGTTATATTACTAGCCTAGTATAAGGTTAAAAAGGTATATTAGTTTTATAGATACCTATAGAGTATATAGTATAAAATAGGAGTATCTATCTCTATAAGATAAGTTACACTACTAAAGTTAAAATCCTCTACTAAGGTCCTAGTTATATATACTTTAAAGGGTAGTAACTAGATTAATACGCTTAATTCTTACTAATACTATATAATAATAGGCTACTCTTTAAATATATCCTTATTATAAAGCTTTAAAAAGATATCCTCTATAATCCTATATTACTTCTTAATAGTATTATATTATTAACTAGTAGATATAACTAAGTATTTATTATCCCTAATACTAGTAAATATAGATATAAATATCTTAAATAACTACCCTATTTCTTAGAATAATAGGAGGACCTTATTTATCTTTGCGTCTTTACTTATATAGTAAGTATAGGAAGAGGATATAAGCTATCTATTAGATATAGATCTTTACTATATATAATTAAGGGAGGTATATTTAATAAGGGTGCTATAATAGCTCTAGTATAGTATACTAAATTAAGAGTATCCTTATAGTAGCGTAAAGTTAATAAGTAACTAACTAGGCATCTTACTATCTAGCCTAGGTCTAATAAGGGTAATAGGTATATTAAATATTATTAATTATATAGTATTAGTAATATAATAATATACTATTTCTAGACATACTAAGTAATAGTATATAGTTATAGGGATAGTAAGGGGTAATAAAAGTTATACTATAGAAGATAGGCTATTAGATAGTGCTAGTAAGGTAGGAAAATAATATAGTTAAAGATATAATATATAGTATTAAAGGTAGAATCCTAGCTACTAATAAGTTAAAATTACGTATTACTAAACTAAGCCCTAGTTTCCCTTAGATACTCTAGCTAAAATAGCTATTCTACCCTTTTATTAGCCTAGAAGTTTTTAGAAGATAATTAAATATATTCCTACCCTCCTATTAGTTTAGAAGTTTGTATAAGTTTACTAGTAGCGCGCTTGCGTGCCGCTAGGCCTAAATAGGATAGGCGGAACGCCAAATTTCAGTCAGAGCATCTAATTCATAAGATAAGGGCAAAGGGATCGAGATCAAATCCATGGTTCTACCGGTATGGCGGGCTTGAGATGTTGCGGCCCTTGCTAGATCTGGACAGGTTGCTTATTGATTGTACACACATGGTGGATGAACAGTACCGGTATGGTGTCTACGCTGTGACATGACCACTGATGTTTCATCATTCTATGTTTCGTCCCACCCCAAACGACACATGAAGCTACTCCGTTGTATAATATACATGGGTGAATATCAGAACAATCCTACAATCTTCCCATCTCCCTCCCAACAGCACCCGCTCATCCCGCTTCACATCCATCACGTTGGGTGACCATCAACCAGCAGCCAACCTGCTCAACATACCATAACCTCCCGCAAACCTAGCAACACCCGTCCGCTTCCTGCAAAACCTATCCATAACCCCTAAAACTAAAAACCTGCTCAAGAGACTACAAAATCCCAACTTGGACGCACCGTCTGCATTTCCCATTTTCCTGGCTGGATCCGCCTAGCTATTGATGGCTGCAGGGACGTCTCATTGATTTGGTGCATGTAACGAGGGATGGCATATTGCTAGTGGGACCACAGCAGATACAAACACCCGCAAACTAGGGTTATATAAATTTGTGGCACTTAGGCCCAATGATTTCTGACTCTGAAGAAGAAGAGGAGCACTTGTGATATTGTTGAAGTCGTAGACTTATACAGACCGATCATCAAGCGCGATACTGCGCCGTCTCCTGCTCAGACGATAAAAAGCCGTGGACATCCTCGTTCTCCACATCTCCACGCTGCCGCACCTGCTCCTGCACCGACGATACAGCATCCTGTGACTGATCCCTTAACACACTCTGCGAGTCCGCCATATCGTCTGGATCTATCCTCTGAGTCCTTCTCCACCGCGCAGGACCCTCACTGTCGCGCCTGCCATCCATCTCCTCAGCCCCCAACCCAATACTCTCCAACATGGCGAAAAATCTTTTCTCTCCCTGAGGGCCGCCCAGGATGCCGCCTTCAGCAACACCCTCGACACGCATAATATCAGACACCACTTTTCTCGCGCGCTCAAAGTCTCCGTTTTCAAAGAGCGCGAGTACGACTTTGGTTAGTGTTTGCCAGCCCGTTGGTGTTCCAAACCTGGTCATGCGTGCGAGCACACTCATCATCTTGCCCACTTCGCCATTCATTGCATAGCCCTCCATCAGACGATCGTAGAGGATGGCGTCGCTGGGGACGCGATGTGAGGTGAAGATTTGGTGGACCAGGCCATCCACTGCCAAGATGTTTGGTGGTTCTTGCTGGAAGTAGAAGGATGCGAGACTGGTGTAGATAGCTGCACTAGGCACGAGTTTCCTCGCTGTCAAATGATCTATAACGGCTCTTGCCGCATCGGCATTGTTGTACTGCTTCAGCATTCGATCGAGAGCTATGCTGTAGATGTGATCGTTGAGTTTGACACCACTCGCTTCAACGCTGTTGAGATGCGAGAGCATGCGCGACGTTTGTTCCGATGCAGACAGGCTATCGAATGATGCGCTGTCAAATGCTGCGCTCACTATCATGGTATGTGTAGCGATGTCAACAGTTACACCGTCAGCTTCCATTTTCCGCAGCACTTTGAAGGCATTGGAGTAGTCGTTTGCGTCCAGGTATAAGCGGATTATAGAATTATAGGTGCGGGCATCGGGACGGATGTTGAAGCTACCAGCCCAACCAATGATCTTTTGTACGAATTCGAGTTTCTTGCCGTGGCTCATATTATCGGGACGGATTCGGACAATGGCAGATAGTGCACCGTTGACGACTTCAATGGTGGGCTTTGTGACTTTGTTTACCATTTTGGGTTTAGTCGTCGTGGCGATCTTCTCTGCCGCCAACCACTTCTTGCCCATTTCATCGAGGGCCATGAGACCACGGCTGACTTGGCGAAGGGATATGAGGCCGTTGACTCGTACTGTCCACAGGTAATCGTCTGGTTCTAGACCAGTGTGAAGCATCCGCTGCCACATTTCGTCCATACCGTCAAGATCCTTTGCCTTTACACAGCCATCCAACAGTGCAACCCAAGTTCGTGAAGTGGGCTGAACACCATGTGCGATCATGTGGTTCCAGACTTCGACACACTGTGAAGATCTGTGGAGTTTCATAAAACCTGACAGTAAAGCATTGTATACTAATGGTGGGATGGCGGGTTTTTGACCTTCGGAGGTGAAAGCGTCTTGTACTTGCGTCCAGGTGGTTTTAAGATTAACTGATGACGTTGTCGACTCTACCGCGCGTGCTATGCGTTTGAGGTAGAAAGCTTCGAGATTGGCAGCCTCATCTCCTTTATTTTCGGCCAAGGTACCTCCACTTGCTCCAAGCCTGATCAAGGCTCGTGAAGGCATTCGATCAATCTCCTGCATAATCTGCTGCCGGACGTCTGGGGACAAGGCGTTCCAGGCTGACGAGTATTCTGTATGACGGTAGATATAGTCGACATGTGACCCAGCCAGTAGGCGCTCAAAAAAGTGTAGTAGAGGCGTAGCTTCTTGCTTAAGCGATTCCGCAGACATCAAGGCGTCGGAAATGCTATACAAGTAAACAGCACAGAATCCCAGCGTTGAATTACCCACGAATCTAGGAAGATATTTTTGGAGCCGCAAGCCAAAGTTCTTGGTTTCAGTGTCCTCCGTCATTGATTTGGCGGGGGAAAGGTTCCATTCCGTGCTGATAGATTGCAATTCGTCCTTGTTGATACCTTTGCATTGGAAGAACAGACGCCACAAAGAGATGAGCTCGTGTAGCAAGACAGGCAGAATTTGTTGTCGGTGCTCGGCTGCAGTGTTGGCGGCTTCTATTGCTTGGTATGTCAGGTATGCAAGCGTTTGTCGAACCCAATACTCCGGACGAGCTATGCCCAGTTGTTCATACCGGAACAACAACTGTGTCGGTGTCACCGGTAAATGCGTATCTCCTCTGCAGAAAGCAAGGTTTACAGTGGTGAGGAGTAGGAGGAATATTGTACCGTCCTTCAACAGGGCAATATCAGGGATGCTAGGTTGGGTGAGTGCTTTGCAGTCCCTAGATGTGTATGTTGCCTCGAACAATGCCCAGGCTGTGTTGAGATCTCGATTGAGCAAGAGCGCATTCGCGATCTTCCTTGCGTAGCTAGGTTCTGCGATCCTAGCACTGCCCTCAAAAGCGATTGGGACATCTTTTGGTTCATATCCATCTGGATATGTGATGGTAGACTGTTTCTCACCATGCGCTGTCTCTTTCAAGAGATGTAAATATCTGCTTGCGCTGCTTTGCGCAGATGGTGCCTTATAACTTTCCGTGCGCGGTATTGGCGGGCGCTTCTGAGTTTCGTCATCTTTTTGGTTCATTGCCTGCTCTTGCGAGCTTTCCGGTGGGGTTTGGCGTCGTAGCGATGTAAATGTGGCTCGTGGCTGCCAGTGTTGGAGTCGATGTCGTGGGGGCGTAACGCGTCGCGCGATCCGTCCTCTGCATTGTCTGCAGACGTATGCGCCTAGCATGGCTCAATTGAGGGCGTCGTGGACGAGTACTGGGAGGTTTTGGATGGGTAAGCTTTGGGGAGACTCGCAGCTTTGGGTGCATGTTGAGTGGCTACGTACAAGTGTGAGGATCTTGGACACACACACACACACACGCTCACACACAAAACATCAATTCACCCACATGATAATCGTCCTAGCCAACCAAAAAAAAAAGTGTATATAGGATTGGCGCTGCTCTCGTGTTCTGGTGGCCCACGCGAAGCCTGCATACACGGCGAAGTGTCGACGACGTTCAGATAATCGCAAACAAATCTCCGAATCCAACAGCCAATCAGGGCCCTCAGCCATCGGAGACGTAACACGTGATGGGCTAGGTCCCTCAACTGGTCGTTGACATGCCCAGCGGAACAACAACTTGGTCTTGGCGCTTGAGAAGCAGAAACTAAGAGTTGCTGTGGGCTTCAATCTACACAACTTTCTGCTTTCTTGAATCTCCAGAAGAGCGACTTCGAGATAGTTTAGGGCATCATGACGACCTTTGTACCCCGGCAACCCTACACGCAGGAAGAGCTGGATAAGCTTTATCCGAAAGAGCTTGAGTTACAACTCGTGCAGATCGTAAGACCAATTGCATTCCTCTGTGTAATCCGAGATGTTGTACCGGTATCAGAGTGGACTAATTTCGTGTATAGCTTCTTCGCCATGGTCAGCTTCGATTTTCATCGCTAGACAGCTATTTACTCTGCTAAATAATTGGAATAGGCGAGAGAAGTCCAGTATCTCCACGATTCCAAAATGTAAGATAGTTTTCAGGCCAACAAACCAAAAGATACCTACTAAACACAAATTCAGACTGGCCTTGGGCCATGTACGCATAACCCAAAACAGCTTGAAGATTGAAGCTCATATGACAAAGATTGGCCCTACTGTAACGCAGTCCGTCAATTGACCAGTGTAATCCAGACCAACCAAGACTCCTCGCAATGGAATCAGCTCCAATGGCGGCGTCGTCTTGAGACCTTCGACAATAATGACGGACCGGGTAATATCTTCTTGCTTACCATGCCCAATCCCTTCGATCTTCCTGACCTTCTAGCAGTCATCGCCGCCGGTCCCAAAGGCGAGTATGACGGTATATGCCAACCAGGCGAACTCACCGACCAAGGGCGCTCCACAACATTTGCCCTCGGCCAGCGTCTACGCCACCTCTACGTCGATCAACTTCAATTCATGCCCTCCCTCATCGCAGATGCCGATATGATCTATCTACGCGCAACCCCCATCCCCCGCGCCCTGGAATCCCTTCAACAGACCTTTACCGGGTTCTACCCCCCAAGCACCCGCACCGCTGACTTCCCACCCCCCACAATCATCACCCGCACACCTGCCGACGAAACCCTGTTCCCCAACGATGCAAGCTGCCGCCGCTTCGCCCAACTCTCCCGTGCCTTTGCCGCGCGCACAGCGCAAAATTGGAATGACACGGACCAAATGTCGTATTTAACCTCCAAAATCTCGAAATACATGCCCAACCAAGCCAAAGTAGCCGTTGATTCGCGGCCCCGTCTCTCAGGTATCATGGACACGATCAACGCCACAGATGCACACGGCCCCGACACAAAACTCCCTAAGGAGTTCTACGATCCCAAGCTACGAGCCACAATTGACAAGATTGCCGTCGAAGAGTGGTTCAAGGGGTACACGGAGAGCGTCGAGTACCGAACCCTTGGTATCGGCGGCTTGATGGCCGACATCACCAGTCGCATGGCTGCATCCACACGCCACACCTCTTCCGACGGACTCGTCGAGATCGGAACCGCCGTAGGCAGAGGCAGAGGCGGCGAAACCGGCATTAAATTCGCAATGTCGGGATGTCATGATACCACGCTCGCCGGCGTCCTATCCTCGCTCGGAGCCTTTGACGGCGAAAAATGGCCCCCATTCACAAGTCACATAGCATTCGAACTCTTCAAAGTCCGGATTAGCACGCCTACTACCTCAATAACATCCCCATTACAGCAAGCCTCCTTAACATCTACGTCCCGCAGTAGCTGGTGGTCCACTCTCTTCGGCACAGCCACCCAGCCCCCAGCCCACCACACCACACCGCGCACACCCGTCTCCGAACTCTCCTCATCCCAGCGCGAGCAGCTAAAGCAGTATTACGTACGTATACGCTACAATGACAGGATCATGCAGGTCCCCGGTTGCAAGACTCAGGGTAATCATTTACACGGCGACACAACATTTTGTACCTTGGTGAGTTTCTTTCAGATTTCCTCGCCGACTGTTGCTCTTTTTATTGACTTCGTCTGCTCATTTGATTTCCTCGCACTCATTCTGTCATCCTATGCACCACAGCTTCATGCGTGGGCGATGATGAACAAACAGCTAATATACGCATATGCGACTTCGCTACAGGAAGCGTTTAAATCCATAGTCGATGCGTATACGCCTCAGAATTGGAAGGCGCAGTGTGGTGCTAATCTTGATGCGGCTGCATTTCCGGAGAAGGCTGAGCCGGCGGGGTATTGAGGATTTGGCGTTCAAGATGGATTCGTGGGTGGATGGGGAAAGGCGGAGTTGAGGGGGTTTACAGCGCACCAGTGTTGTAGCGTGCCGTACCGTATTATTGGGAAAGCAGAAAGATAAATATAGATTGCACATACTATCTCTAGAATGGTAAAGTAGGTTATACTGGCGGTTCTATGAGGATGAATTAGAAGGACAGAGAACATAGACGGGTACGGGGAAAGCATTGTGGATATGGTGTCATCAAGTTCATTGCTAATGTGCGTGAATGGTGTGCGTACGTGTGAAGTGGCTACATTCACACGGATGAACAACAAGGCCGCCATGAACGACCCTGGTGGAAAATCTGTGGTGTCTTTGCAATGTGGTACGTGTCTCCTATCCCCCAGTCCTCATGATCTCGCCAATCTTCCCAGCTGGCGTGACGCAACGCGACATCATCCAGATTAACGACTGTGAAAACCAAACACCTTGAACGACACTCTGAAGACGGAAATTGACCGTCGACCGGCGTGCGCGGTAATAGGTCAGCTAAGCCTCGCGAATGGTGAAATTCTTGGGTGCTCGCTCATCTTTAATGTTGATTACTCTTGTCACAAGTGCGAATGGCATTTGCATGTGCCCATATATGCAAACGGGTCGAATTTGCCACCAGAACATGAATCATCAGCAATGAATCGCCATTTGTACCGTAGTTCAATGGCATGTCAAATCAAGTCTTCACGTCCGCCTTTTGATTCACCACTTTGACCACCATTCTGCCTCATCAAATTGTCAAACTTACGCCCACATGTATGGAATCTTCACACCATTCACACCATGGTATAAGAATATATAATACATCACGTCAGCTTAATACTGGACCCAATAAGCAGCACCTTGATTACCATTTCCCACAGCCAGCATGTCATTCATTAGTAAGTTTGGCCTCATTAGCACTCGAAAAATAACACTGACAAGCTACTCAGAGCGATTCTTACTCCGCAGGGTGACTGCTGTCGCAGTTGCGACTGCCGCGTCTTTGGTCATATACCGTACGTACCCTGTTTCCTCCTAACTTGAACCTTCCATGCAGTATCGATCACTTACATTCCCCAGTCTTCGTCCTCCTCGGTTGCATAGGCAAAGGCGCCGGTATCGACACCCTCCAGTGGGTGAACATCATCCAGACCGCCCAGAACAGCAAAGTCACTGGTGAAATCAAAATCGGCTACTTTGGTACATACTCACCTTGCCTTTCCCCCTCCCCTTTCTCATATCTCCTTGGACCTCTCTAACAGTAACCAAGGATTCTGCACCAACCTCCCATCACCCGAAAACCCAACAGCCGATCGCGTATTCACATGCTTCCCGCGCGGCAAACCCCCATCCCACTCCAATATCCCCATCGAACACCCCCTCTTCATCACTGCCAATTCACTGCAGAAAAATGCTTTGTACCCGATCCCCGCACTGGCTGCTGTATTCTTCCTCCTGCCGCTACTCTACTACTTTATCGCGGAGCGCCACGGCGGGCGCAATGAAAAAGCCGCAAAAATCTTGCTCGGCGTATCAGTAGCTGTGGGGATTGCGGGTGCGTTGACGAGCATGAGTGCAGCACAAGCACTGCATGTATCGAGCGTGGTTTCGGGTGGCGCTACGGTTATAAATTCGGGGAGGTGGATGATGATTATGTTGTGGGTTGCAGCGTGTGTTGCAAGCGGGTGTTGTGGGTTACGTGGTGGCTGGGATGCCGGGGAGGAGTCATGGTGGCGGTGACGGACCCATGGACGGTCATCATCCTCCCCTTGTGCAGGGTGAGGTGTAGGACCACCACCTGCACCTCGTTCTAGAATACCTCTAGGTCCGCCCCCAGATTCACCACCAGGGCCACCTACGGTTATACCACGCAAACCACCATCAGGATCTTCAACTGGAACTTATCCAAGACCGCCTCCAGGTCCCTCCAGGCTCCCCGGGAATTATCTGCTGAAATACTGCAGCCTAGCTCAGGTGCTGAAGCTCCAATGCTACCACCACTACCTGGTGGACCTAGTGGACCTGGTAGAACTCCTGGAACTCCCAGACACACAACCCAAGGCAGATCCTCCAAATCCCTCAGCTTCGGTGAAGTGGGCCCAGCAGCATCTGCGAAGAAAGGCTCACTTCCAAGGGCATAGTAAAGCAGTCCAAAGCTGGCAAGAAGAGGTATGACCGCCGATCATTCGGATTGGCGATCAATTCCACGGGAATCAACATCCCCAACCACAGCGATGGGCACAATGCTGATGTTGCTTGAACGAAACCGAGAATGACTCAAGTTGCTATGCAAAAAGTGGTGGGGTCTAATAAGCCCTTGAAGAGCGAGCATATGCGTCCGGCAAAGGCGAGGGCGAAGAGGGCGGGGAAGAAAAGGAACCAGAAGGTGAGAGGGTATGGGGAGGGTGGGGTTGAAATTGTGATGGCGTTGTGGTGGGCATGCTGATGCTGGTATTTCATGATGATGGCAAGGTGTTTGGAACAGAGATTTCTGTAAATAGAGTATGTATCCTTCACGGCTCTAGTGTTAGTCTATGGTAGTGGTATTAGATGTTGATGACCTGAATTGTCTACTTATCGTCATGTTGCTTGCGTGAGCCAGGGCAGTCAAAGCTCACGGCAATGCGTAGCGGTCAAAAGAATGCCGAATTTTCTGTATTGAAGAATATAGAATCAAGTCCCGCCCATTTCCGAGCCTGCTCATAAACACCTCAAACGCCTCGCCAAGGAAGTCCTTGCTGGTAGCACCAACTGTCATATCGCCAAAGTCATGGTTTAGAATTGGTCCAGTGTCATGCTCATAGAAACATCGGTATTTTCGACCATCTTGGTAAATTCTTCGAAACTGATCTTGCCGTCGCGGTCGAGGTCGGCTTCCATGATGGTCTTGTCGACAATCTAGTTTAGTATTAGTAGCCGGCCAGTCCTGGAAATTGAAAGATTGGAAATAGAGCCTCACTCACTTGCTGTAGCTGTTGGTCCTTCAAGTTGCTTCCCACCATCATCTTCAACACAATGAACAGTTCTCCATTGCTGATGTATCCGTCGCGGTCAATATCGTATACGCGGAAGGCGAACCGTAGTTTCTCTTCCTTGTTTCCCTTGCTGCTGAAAGCCGAGAGACCAGAGACGAATTCCTGAAAATCAACATCGCCGCCACCGTCTTCGTCGAAAATAGCAATCATGCGTGTTGCGAGGGGGTTCGAGGAGATTTGGGGGAGGGCCAGGAATTCGTCGCGCTCAATGGTTCCTGAGTTGTCCTGTGTGCAGTATATGAGCTTTGCGGCATGGTTTAAGAGTGTGAAGGGTGTGGCATACCTTGTCCAGCTTCATAAACCGCTTTCTCAGGCGGTCAACTTCCTCGCGGTCGACTGTTTACTGTTAGTGGTCGGCCTCTGACTACTACTGCTCCTAACCCCCCCCCCCCCCCCCCCCTACGCCATCGCGCGGACGTACAATTCGAGCCCGAGGCAATGTTATCAAGGAGCCCCGATTGTTGGTTTCCCATTTTTGCAGGTTGTTATGCGGTAAAATAGGTGCAGGGGCAAAGGCTGGTTGTTGCAAGCTTGGTTGTGAGGGGGGAGATAGTCGTGCGTCAACTTGGAGGGTCCATTACTTTGCCTGACTAGTCAACTGAGGTTACTTCACTTTAGCGGCGAAGTGGGACACCTCCGCGACGTCAACTGCCAAGACAAAGACAACGTCCACGTCCACATCCACGAGGAGAGGTGGTCCCTCCATTCGCCATTCAATCGCCAAAACCGTCTGCACAAAAGCAACGAAGATATCATGGAGTCTGAAACGCCTATCGATATTGCATCCACGCTGCAAGGCGCTTCCATCAACCGCCACCCATCCGTCAAGCACGATGTCAATCCATCTACTGCTGCCTCTGAGAAGCGGCCCGTTACTCTCAATACACATGCCGACCTCGATGACGACCACTCCGATCTCGGCGAAGATGAGATCCCCGTCAGTGTCTTGGATCCAGTACCACGCAAGCAGAACATGCCACCGCTGCCCGACCTACGATTCGAACAGAGCTACTTGAAGAGCATCGACCATGCTCAAGGATGGCAGGGCGTTGCATGGATTACATTTCGAGACCAGGTTTGGCCAATCTCAATCCTATTATAGATGAAGAATTGGGCTAATGGCATCAGGTACTCATGTGCTTCGCGCAAGGTGTGCTATGGACCCTCCTGCTCAACGGCTGGAGACACTGGAATCGATCCGCAAAATTCAGTGGCCATGGTGTTGGCGCGAGAATAAGGAGATGGTGGTGGGGCGTAAACAAATGGTCGATACCGAATGCAAAGGCACGGCTGGGCGACACCAAATTGGCGAAGAACATTTCCGAAGTGAGTGTTGCCTTCTTGAAAGTCTGGCACCTGTTCTGACTAGCTTCAACGCAGGTGGACTAACCAATGATGCAGTACTATCAAGGAGAATTTTCGAGCGCTGCGCAAGATTAAAATGATGGCAGTTTTATGGCGTCTGAAACGCATTCTTGCATGCTGTAAATTTAGCTAAACGACACAATAGCCTCAAGGGCACAACAGTAAATGCGTCTGACACTACTAATGTGACGAGAGTAACTCTGAGTCAACTGTAGGTGTTGGCTGGAATGGCGGCCACATGCATGAGTCGCATATAAAATGGTGCATTGGAACTGGATACAAAACGACAGATTTGGAGTGGCGGTAGTATAATGAACCCCGTTTCAACGACCCTAGCCCTTACCACAACTCCTGTTTCCGTTCTCTTACCGTCCTGGCAAGGCCCCAGGACGTGATCGGGCCAGCAAGATAGGAAGTGGTGGACACGTGACAACGTACTAGCGCGTTTCCAGATCGCGTTACGCGTTGCATATCGTTCACCCTCAACCTTCCACGCCCACCACTTTTGCAATCGCTCTGGTCGCAGTCAACTCTCGAGGAATCCCACCCGAGACCAATATGAAACCATTCCGGCCTCTTACGCTCGCACGCTCTGGGTCGGACAACAACAGCCAGCCGCCCAACAAGAAGCGACGAATATCATCCAATGCACTCCCATCCAGCACCCGTCAGCCGCTCAATACTCTCCATAATCCCGCGCCCGCACAGTTCCTACCACCAGGCCTTGATGGAAAATACTATACTGTTCTATGGCGGAAGTACACAGCCAAAAAGAACAAGACATGGGACGGTGATGGCGTGCTGGCCGTAGTGGGCGGACACGCCACCCTTACCGATAGCGATACTGGGAAGGAGCTGGGGCGGGGTGCATGTAGCCTACCGTTGCTTCCTGGCTCGGCGCTCTCGTTAGGTGGTAAAGAATTGGAAATCGAGGGCAGCATAGAGAAGGCAGACTATCTCGCAGGACGAATGTTTCTGGGCACAGCGGCAGCTGCACCTGCTGGGAAGGCGAAGCGCCTTGAGCCGGGGTACAAGCCTCTGCTTACATCTAAGTCGAACGTGAAGAGGACGCAGTCATCTGGAAGTGCGGATGGCGAGCATGTACCGGATTATGCGCCTTCTTTACAACGCAAGCAACATTTTAAAACGCCTCTGTTGTCGAATACCGTCATGGCTCAGCGAAATGCGTCGATACCACAACCACGACACGATCCAAATGCAGAGAATGCTTTGGTTATGAAAAGGCCGAATAGCTGTCCTGCGGGCAAACAGATTGTCGACGTTGTTGTCGACCCTGTCCTGAGCAAACACCTGCGCGACCACCAGCGCGAGGGTGTGAAATTCCTCTACGAATGTGTCATGGGCATGCGATGTGAGGGCGAGGGTGCGATCATGGCTGATGAAATGGGCCTGGGCAAGACACTACAAACTATTGCACTCATATGGACACTGTTGAAGCAAAATCCAATACATGGTAGCTCTCCCGTTGTGAATAAAGCGCTCATCGTTTGTCCAGCGGGCCTGGTTGACAATTGGAAGCGCGAGTTTCGGAAATGGCTCGGCAATGAGAGAATTGGCCTCTTCAGCTGTCACAAAGACAGAAAAGTCACCGACTTCACGATGGGCAAGGCTTACAATGTCATGATTGTTGGCTATGAGATGCTTCGTGTCGTACAAGAGGACTTGAAGAAGGCCGGTGGCATCGACATCGTCATCGCGGATGAGGGACACAGGCTCAAGACTGCCAACAATAAGGCTATGCTTGCTATACAGTCACTCAGCACTGAGAGACGTGTCATTCTGTCTGGTACGCCACTGCAGAATGATCTTGGCGAGTTTTATACAGCCATTGACTTCGTCAATCCGGGATTGCTTGGCCAACGCTCTGCGTTCAAACGCACATTTGAAGCCCCGATTATGCGCAGTCGTCAGCCAGATGCAACCGAATCGGAACTTGAAAAGGGTGAAGCTCGGTGGAAAGAGCTCGTGTCTCTGACCAGCCAGTTTATGATACGACGGACCGCTAACGTTCTTGCAAAATACCTGCCGCCAAAGACCGAACACATTGTCTTTTGCAAGCCCACCAGAGCCCAAGCAGAAGCCTACCGCAACATACTCACTTCTCCCATTTTCAGCGCTGCCCTAGGAAATGGCAACAGTGACATGGCCTTACAACTCATCAACGTCCTCAAAAAAGTTTGCAACAGTCCCTCGCTATTGAAGTCCTCAACTGACAACGATGACACACCCTCCGCACTCCTACAAACCCTGCTTCCCCTCATTCCACCACAAATCCTCAACTCCAGCGCATCGAGCACAAAACTGCGACTGTTAGACAGCCTTGTCCACCGCATCCACACCACTACTGATGAAAAGATTGTAATCGTCTCAAACTACACCACAACTCTCGACATGATTGAGCGGCTCCTCACGTCCCTGTCGTACACTTACCTACGCCTTGATGGCAGCACCCCAGCCGCCAAGCGCCAGCCCCTTGTTAACAAATTCAACACGTCATCGAAATCCACCGCTTTCGCCTTCCTGCTCTCCGCAAAATCGGGTGGAGTGGGCATTAATCTGATTGGCGCGTCTCGCATCGTGCTGTTTGAGTGTGACTGGAATCCCGCGACGGACTTGCAGGCTATGGCAAGAATACATAGAGAGGGGCAGAAGCTGCCCTGTAAGATTTATCGATTCCTGATCAAGGGAGGACTGGATGAGAAGATTTATCAAAGACAGGTTAGTAAGATGGGATTAGCCGGCGCGGTGGTGGATAATAAGGCGAGTGCGAGCTCGTTTTCCAGAGAGGAGTTGAGGGACTTGTTTCGATTGGATGAAAGGGCTGGGTGTCAAACGCATGATTTGCTTGGGTGTGGGTGTGACTGCCAGGGTAGGGCAGAGGAGAGAATGGTGGGAAAGGAAGAGGGAAGTGATGAGGATCGGGAAGAAGAGGAAATTGTACCGACGCTGAGAAAAGCAAGCCAGGTTGATATGGAGGAGCAGGAAGCGAAGATTGAGAGTAGGAGGAAAGCGAAGAAGCCGAAGCTGCAGATGTTGATGGAGTATCGACACATCGATGCTAATGCATTGCGAGCAGCTGGAAAGAAAGCGGAAGAGAAGGATCCGAACGATGATGCAGATGCCGATGCCGATGTCGATCAGATGGCTGTAGCTATCGACGATGATGTCTTCCTCGACGTGCTAAAGGACGATGGGTGTAATGTCGGTTTCGTGCTGACCAAGTCATCATCCTGATAGACACGCGAGAACGAAATACATGTGATTGACAGGTCTGGAAGAACGAAAGTGTAGCATTTACACACATACGATGTATCATAGCGATGGCGCATTTCTTCAGGGATTCATCACAATCGAGGCAAGGGTTTAACGCCGTTTGATTGCAAGTCTCAGCCTTCATTCACTTAGACAACACAACCACACCAAAATGAAAATACAATACACATGCCCGTGTAACCGAGAGCGAACACTGAACCGCCCCTTCATCCATCACAGAATCCCATCTTACCCTATGCTGCTCTCAACCTTCGCTCTCGTTCGCCCATCTTTCTCCACACGAACTGCTACATTGTAACAGCCACACCATAGCCCAGAGCGGCCAACAGTCGCTCTACTTTCATACCCAAACCCATGACATCATAGATCGAGGCGTTTTTGTCTAGACCATGGTCTTGCGGATGCATATGTGCAACAATTAAAATCGCAGTACGGACCGGTGTACCGCACTTCAGTCATACGTGCCCACTGCACGTGTTAATAATGATAGTAATATTTTCCTAGATTATTTGCGCCTGTGATGAAGGGTGTTACACTGCATGCATGATGCATGGGAAATCTCCGATGCGCGTGATATGGCTTAGGTGCCGTGCAACGATCTTACCATGAATCGAAGTGGACGCAACAAACATCATTTTCAGCAAGCGTCCTTTAGTCCCGCCAAATCTCCCAAGCAAGCTCATTCTCTCCTCCCAAATTTTATCATTGCCATTCTCAAACCACCAAATCCTAGCCACATCGTAAGTATGAAGTCCACACTCGAGTCGGAAATAAACCTGCAACCTCGTACCTGATAACCCTACCCCACCCAAGCCCGGTATTCAAAAGCCGGGAGCATACAATTTACCCAAGACCCCAGTACCGATACCCCGTTTCAGCTTCCAACAAAACGCTATATTACATACAAATTACCACGCCTCCACCTCTTGCTCAAAAAGATTTCCACAGTCGCCCTGGGGCCTATGAAATGCTTCGCTAGTGCATCACCCGACCTGTACCGTACCGCTTCCCCGTTGTTTCTCCTCGAAACGCGCGTGGCGAGACTGGGGATGTGGCTGGAATCCCGGGAATAGAGTTGGCGATAGATGAGGCTTTGATTGGGTATGGGTTGGAAGGAGGTGGTGATTGGTATGGGAGTTTTTGAGAGGCACCAGGGGCCTGATGAGGCGGGATTTGAGCATTCGTGTGAGGGGTGTACAAGTCGCATGAGGAGGTGTATATAAGGGGGACGTGGTGAATCTGGATTACGCAGATTTTGTTCGATAGGAAGCACATCTTCTCTTGCTCTCCATCTCTCTTGTATCTACTTCCACGTCATTTCCCCACGCAGTAACATTCTCGCGATGTTGTCTTTGCTGGTACTCCTGGCACCACTGGTGGCAGCTCATGGTCACGTCGAAAAGGTGATTGCCGATGGCGTTACCTATCAAGGCTGGAACGCTGCGTTGAGGTATCAGAATCCCATTCCTGCAACTGTCGGCTGGCAAGCAGACAACCTCGACAACGGCTTCGTCGAACCCAGTCGCTTTGGAAGCGCAGATATCGTCTGCCACAAGCTCGGGAAGAGCAATGGCGCCTATGTCGCTGTTAAGCCAGGCAGCAAAGTAACCTTCCAGTGTACATAACCCCAGTTCCGTCTCATTTCAAAGAAACAAACCTTAGCAAAACATGCTCGAAGCCCATACACAACCATCGACATACAACATATGCTAACGCTCAAGCAGGGGACACATGGCCCGTCTCCCACGCTGGCCCAGTCCAAGAATACATAGCCCCTTGCAACGGCGACTGCGGCTCCGTAACCCCAACCTCCCTCCGATGGACCAAGGTCCAATCCAGCGCCTATAAATCTGGTAGTAACCCAGGGAACTGGGTCACCGACGACCTGATCAAGAACAACTTCAGCTGGGATCTCACAATCCCCAACCTCGCACCGGGCAAGTACGTCGTCCGGCACGAAATCATTGCCCTGCATGCGGCCGGACAGCCCAACGGCGCCCAGGCCTACCCGCAGTGCATCAATATCGAGGTTGGGGGCAGTGGCACTGTCAAGTTGGATGGGGGAGTCCCAGCTACGAGCTTTTATAAGGCGACGGACCCGGGGATTGTGTTTTCGCTGTATAGGTCGTTTGATGGGTATCCGATTCCCGGGCCGGAGGTGAAGAAGTTGGCGAAGCGAGGGGAGGTGAGGGAGCATGCGAGGGATTTTGCATGATGAGACGTTGATGTGGATGTGGTTGGAGATGTTGAGATGGAGGGAGGTTATCTTGTAGGCAAAGAGATATATCTTGTTCAAGAGGGTACTGTCCATGTGTTGCTCATTACTGAGTCTAATTTGGAAAGCAAACGTTGTTGCATAGATGCTACATAGGCAAACAAGTCACTTCCCCTAGAGTTCATTCTCACCTTCACCCATCCCCCGCTAGTCATATTACCGCTCACCACCCATCTCACTGCGAAATCCAAGCTGCTCCTTTGCCTTTCCACAGTATATACAACAACAAACTTACAGTCCCCAAACAACACCACCGCCTCCATCATGGTCACGCCGACACCCCAATTAACCCTCTCGATCTCACCACCACCACACCTGCTCCTCTCCCCTCCACCCAATCATCCAACCCGCACCGCTTCAATGACCCCACCGCCCATCCAAACTGTCCGACCAACCGCACCAGCGACAAACAACGCCGTATCCCCAACCTATCACACGTTCGCCGCAGAGCACGCTGCTCCCTCCCCCCTCGCACACTCAGTTTTACATTCATCTCCACACGACCAGCAGCATGACCACATCGACCCCATCTCACCATCCACATACACAACATCGCCAATGACTCCGACATCACCAGTCCTGACGCCCGTCTCACCTCGCGCAGAACTCGCATCACCGATTGTATCTGCCCGGCTTGCGTTTCCCTTGCCGCCACTGCCTGTATACAATACGGCTGCCCAGGAGACGGAGATTGGGACTGCAGCTACGACGGCGACGGCGACAGAAACCAGGAACAACATGCAACAGACACAGTGTTGCACAGCTTTCCCCAATGCCTTACCTCCGCGCCCGCAGCGGAAGAAGGCGGGTATGATTAAGCGATTGTTTGAGCGGAGAGGGGAGCGGGGTGGACATGGAGATGGGGATGTGGAAATGGGGGATATGGCTGGTAGGACGAGTGTTGTTGTTTCTGCTGGGTCTGGCCATCGGGATAATCGTTATCGTGCGCAGAGCACTACAACCGGCACACTCACCACCCCTATCCTGATGCCTACCAACGGTCCCTCAATCGGTCCCTCGAATGCTACCACTGGTCGCCGCTACAGCATGTACCGTCGTCTCGGGATATTGCTTGTCGCGGCGTTGGTGTCGTGTGTGCTGCTGTTTGCGATTGTGGGGCTGGTGTTGTATTTGGTGAAGTATAGGAGGAAACAGGAGGGGGGCCCTGGTCTTGTTGCGGGCGGGAAGGGAGCTGGGGAGAGTGGGAAGGGGGTTGGTGAGAGTTATAGTGGTCTTGCGGAGAGTGAGAATGGGATTATGGAGGTGCTGACGAGGATTGGCGGGGTTGGTGGGTGATGTGGTGATTTGGGGGAAGGGGGGGGGGGGGGGAGAGAGAGGGGATGAGGACAGTGAAACCGAGTCACTTTGAGAGAATCCAACATGTACTCAAAAAGACAATGAAGACAACTCGTGAGAAATTCACAGCCCCTTATACGCACTCCTCTACAACACCATTTTAAACTCTGGATCCCGATCATCGCCTTTCCCCTGCCAAGCCGCATACTTCCCCCTCGCCTTGTCCCTGTTAATCTTGCTCACCCATGCCACATTCGCCGCGACCCTACCATGCACATTAGCAAGCCCGTGTTGACTTGACGCGAGAAAAAACTTACAAGATCCAAGCGGCACAGAGCAGACCCAACATGATACGATGACTAGGATGAAAATGCGGGGCTTCTTTCTTCTGATAGACAAAACTGGCGACGAACCCGCCGGCATTGGCAATCGCCAACTGCAGCGCACTGGTGGTCGCGCGCTTGTAATGGCCAGCGCTGTTGTTGCTGTTCCAGGAGAGAATACAGGGTACGGTGGAGTACATGCCCGTGGCCATGAGAAATGTCATGCTGTATTGGACTTTGGGGTTGGTGGACTGGCTGATTACCGCGTAGCCGACAATGGCGACGGGCAGTGTGCACAGCATGACGGGACCGCGGAGAGCAAGGCGGTCAGATAGGAGTGCGGTGATGACGGTGAAGAAGGCGGCGACGGCGTAGGGGATGACGGTCCATAACTGGGCTTGGTTGGGATCCTTGGCGAAGCCGTTGTTGACGATGGTGGGGAGGAAAAGGCCGAAGGAATAGAGGCCGCAGAGGATGGAGAAGTAAGCGAGCGCAGTGAGCCAGACTTGGAGGTTTAGGATGCCGCGTTTTACTTCGGCCCAGTCGAAGCGTTCCTGCTCGGCGCTGGATTCTCCTAGGCGGCGCCGTGCATCGGTTTTCTCGGACGTGGTGAGGAAGCGGGAGGATTCGATGGAGTTGGGGAGGAGGAGGGCGGATGCGAGGCCGATGAGGACTGTGAGGAGTCCCTCAATAACGAATATAAAGGACCAGCCTTGTAGACCGCCTGCTGGGCCTATAGCATTGAGGCCGCGTGCCAGCAGACCGCCAAAAGCACCTGATAGGGATGCAGCTGTATAGAAGATGCCGATGCGAAGAGCTAGCTCGTCTCTACGGTAGAATTGGGAGAGGTAGAGAACCATGCCCGGCAAGAGGCCACCCTCTGCTACCCCGAGGAGTGCGCGGACGGTGGCGAAAGATGCAAAGTTTTTTACGAATCCGAGACACATGGTCAGGATGCCCCAAACGGTTGTGAGCAAGGGAAGCCAGATCTTGGGCGATACCCTCTTGAGCACGAGGTTGGACGGAAGCTCACTATCACAGTGTCAATCACTAGACGCGCTTTGATCTTGTTGATTCCAACGTACCTGGCGATATATGTTGCATAAAACACACACAGTCCAATCGCGTACTGATGGTCGTTGATATGAATGTCCCTTTGCAGTCCGAGGATTTTGGCATTCCCGACATTCGTGCGGTCGATAAAGGAGCACAAGAACAACAGCGCGAGGACGGGCAAAATCCTGCCATGGTCAATACCGTATAACGATTGAAAGACTGCGTAGTACGCAACAGGATCGTAAACATACCGTACATCCATCTTCAGCAGCACACCACGCGTCATCTTCCCATCGGCATCGTGCACTCCCACCTCTCCCACCTCACAGCCACCCGTCTGCTCAAGTTTCTCATCATCCATCTTGTCGTCCATTGCACTATCTCAACTCTCCTTTCAAACAAAACCAAGAAGATTTCGTACCACAAGTCTCTTGTATCTAAAGTCCCCGTACCGGATCCCTTTTCGAATCTAAAACCCAAGAACCAAATCCCACCAAGACGCATCATCACTCAAGATAAGCACGCCCCCTCGCATTAAAAAGCCTACCGATACCTACCCGAGACCCGACCCAAACCCTTCCCATCCAGAACCTAATCCCGCCATCTCCGTCCACCCCACGGGGTTGCACGGCAGACCCAACCTCCATTCCATCTTCCCATTGGCTACAACAGCTACACACCGCGCCGTCGCCTGCTGCATCTGCATTGGGCCGCTCATGATCGGCAGCGCTGCAAGCGTCAGTGTGGAGCTTGTTGCTTGTTGCCTGTGCTTAGCAACCGTGACTGCGCAGCGGGTGTAGATTTGGCACCGAGGGTGAGAGAATGGTGGTGTGTAGGATGCGGTGCGGTGGGTTATGCCGATGTGAATGTGAGAATTGGGGATGATAGGTTGTGATGCGGTGTGTGGTTAGGACAATACATGTGGGAGGTGGGTATGTTATGTAGGTAGCATGATGTTGTTCGGGTGCGGTTAGTCGTCCTTGTCACCGTACCTATCCGACAAGCTTTTTGCGGGCAGGGAGGGGATGGAGCGAGTGGCGGACCAAGCATGGCGAAGCTTTCTTGATGTCCTGGTCTGGGTTATGCTTGGCTGGTTGGCGAGGTTCTGGGTGTTGCGGTTTCTTTTGGAGTACGCACGGTACCTAGGTACGGTTGCATGTGTTCATTCTGCACAATGCCTATAATGATCAGATCACCGTTAGGGGATGAGCAGCTGTGATGACTCAGGCAAGACTTGGTCACGACATGAACTCAACGACATATTTACAAGCGTCCATGCTGTAGGTATCGGTCCGATACCAAGGTGAATGTTCAGCATGTTTTTGCAAGCCAACATAGCCGTTTACAGACCATCGTGGACTTGGTTGAAAGCTAGAAACGGCATATATCAACGTATTTACAGCACACTCGCCGCGTGTAATGACAGGCGCTACGAATGACAATCCATGGGAAAACGACATGATCCTCATCATCTTCTTCTTCGTCATTCGCTTTCACCCATTCTGCCGCTTCACGGCACAACCCAACCGTCAATGCATACGACTAATCCATAGTCTTCAAATCCGGCGCAACCTCAAACGCTGCATCAGTCTTCTCCTTCACCATCTGTACATCCACGCCCGGCGCCACCTCCGTCAGCGTCAGCCCACCCCTCTTCCGATTCACCTCGAAGACGCAAAGGTCGGTGATGATCGTGCTCACACAACGCGCCCCCGTCAGCGGCAACCCGCACTCTTGTACAATCTTGCTGCTACCGTCCTTGGCCGTGTGCTCGGTCGCAACAACGACTTTGGTAGCTTCGGGGTTGGACACGAGATCCATGGCGCCACCCATGCCCTTGAAGACCTTGCCGGGGACCATGTAGTTTGCGAGATCGCCGGCGGCGCTGACTTGGAGCGCACCGAGGATACTGACGTCGACGTGGCCGCCGCGGATCATGCCAAAGGATTCGGAGCTGTCAAAGGTGCTTGCGCCCGGCAGGAGTGTCACCGTCTCTTTGCCGGCGTTGATGATGTCGGCGTCGAGCTCGGATTCGGTCGGGTAGGGTCCCATGCCTAGGATGCCGTTTTCCGACTGAAGCCATACTTTGGTGGTTGGAGGGACGAACGAGGCACTGAGAGTGGGAATGCCGACGCCTAGGTTGCAGTAGTAGCCGTGTTTCAACTCTTTGGCTGCGCGGCGGGCTATGCGTTCGCGGCTGGACATGTTTTCCGAAGATGCGGTGGGCGAGGTGGTGGAAGCGGCTTCTTCTTTGCGGAGTTTCTTAATCTCAATGTTCTTGGGGACTGTGGAGGGGACGATGCGGTCAACGAAGATGCCGGGGAGGTCGATGTCGTCTGCGTCAAAGGTGCCTATGGGTACTATCTCCTCTGCTTCGACGATGGTGAGACGAGCTGCTTTTGCCATTACGGGCCCAAAGGCTTTGGTGGTGTATCTGTTCGCCTCCATGTCAGCATTTCACAACCTTCTTCTTGGCTCTGAAAACAATATGCAGCCGTTGGTTCAAGAGAAGAAATTCCAAGACTCACCTAAACACACAGTTGCCCGCTTCGTCCACTCTTGCCGCCCTGACAATCGCAACATCGCCATTCAACGCCTCCTCCATCAGATACCTCTTCCCCCCAAACTCCCTCACTTCCCTTTTCTTCCCATATCCGACAGCCTTCCCCTCGCCATTGAACCTCGCCGGCACCTTGCCTTCCGCCACCAACGTGTCCACTGCCGTTGGCGTATAAAATGCCGGAATACCAGCTCCAGCAGCCCTTAACCTCTCAGCCAGCGTACCCTGCGGACAAAGCTCAATCTCGATACCACCAGAAAGGTACTGTTTCTCCAGCGCCTTGTTATTCCCGAGGAACGAGATGATGAGTTTCTCAACCTGTCCATTCTTGGTTAAATGCGCCAACCCCCCAACATCCTCGATACCGGCATTGTTCGACACCGCCGTCAGCGAATGCAGCGACTTGGGCCCACGCTTCTTCATCGCCTGAATCAGCGTTTCTGCAACACCGCAGAGCCCAAAGCCTGCGCTCAGAATGGTGGAACCCGGCTGTATGTCCGCGACTGCTTCGTCGGCATCTTTGAACAGCTTGGACTTGGAGCGGTCGATCTTTGGCGCCGACGTGCTGATGGCTCGTGTGTTTGTGAAGCGCCATTGTGGCGGTAATGTGCGTAGTGCGCGTAACTGCGCAGGTAGTGGCCGCAGCAATGTTATGTGTGTAGGGAGAGCGGCAAGGAGGCGGTAGGAAGAGGGTAATGCGTCCATTGTGAGGCTTTACGGTAGGTAGACCTCACAGGGAAGTATTGTGGGAATGCGCGCGTATGAACAGAGGGCGCAACCGCTTGAACGGCTGTGTTGTGAACGATCAGATGCTCAAGGGGACAGTCCAAGATGGTTCCAGAGAAACCGCCAAACTGTCACGAAGAATAGAATTACATCCGAACAACATGACGCTTATGCGCCTGTCCGTGTCTCTGTGTCTGTCGCATAGCCGGCACGCTCAAACGTCATGATCGGCTCTATTTCAATTGCCGAACACAAAACTCAGGGTCCTAAACTAGGTAAGCCAAACCACTGCCACCAGGGCCAGACAGAGAGTATTACCTTGTCACAGTTGATGAATGATTAACCTTGGCAATGTACAAGCGCCGAATATTTGATGCCTCAATCTGAGCACATCTTCCTGCTTCTACAATGTGCAAAACATCCTCTAGACGCTCCGCTAGGTATGTGAGGAGCCATGGCATAGGCACCATATGTAGGTACCGGTACCCTTGTTGACATACTCACACTTCTGACCATCTGCCCCAAAGTAACCACTAGAAAGGTCCTTTGAAGATGCGAGAACATATCGGCATCCAAAAAAAAGCCTTGTTCAATCGACCTATTCACCATCGCCTTTGCGAATCAGATTGAGGACTTGGAGAAATTCATGAGGTTCCGGCCTGAAAAGTCGAAAGCACAGGCATTTCGTTTGCTCGATGATTCACTTCCGCAGGAAACAACTCAGTTTGCTGGGGTATGTCACAGGTGAAGGACTCGTGGGGCACTGAAAGGACACGGTAACCAGGATTTGCCTCAATTATGCCACTGCTATCAGAACGTGGCTGCTACTATTCTACCATGTCGTTTCATTATCCGCTCTGGTAGGCTTTTATCAAGCACAGTCCATTATCAAGCACAGTCCATATCAGGAAATTGCACGAAGCCACAGCAATTACCAAAATTGTTAATCGGATCGCTGATATCTTTGATGGCCGGATCGAAATTACAAAGCAAACTGTTTATTTTTCCAAATGCATCGCCATCTATAGTCTTGAAAGGGTGTGGACAGCAGCCGCTTGTGGCTGTGTTGCTGAATGACGGTTGCCTTCCATCTCGACGGAAACACCTGCATCTGAAGGGGGGCGGCTTGTACGTAAAAGCATCCTGGCCCTGTTGGAGGGAAAGAATGCATCGGCCCAGCAACCACAATGCCATTCTACCATCTTCTTGACCATGATTGGGCTTGCAATATCTTCACGTTGCAACTCACCACCTCCACGTTACCAGCCGTTGTGCCCAAGCAGAAAGCGATGCCATTAAACTAGGCTACGCAGAGAAGGCCTCGCAGTCTCCAGCGTTGGCTGGATGGGTGTAATGGTCATCGCGAGCAAGCTACGTAGAAGGGCTGAAGACTGGCACCAATCGAGGAGAATGTGCTTTTTCTACTGTGTTTTGTGACTTGCCCACCCTGATCACAACCATCATGAGATGAAAGCATGTCAAAGAGTTGCCAAGATGACGGTCACTTGTTGACTTGTATAGTGAGTATCGCTTTCTGCAATCCATGCTCTTCCCGTCTGCTCACGTGCTCCAATGACATCATCTTCTAGCCGAGCTTGTGTTTAGAGTAGCAGCGACGTGCCTTTCTGGCAGATTGGAGAGATTTGGGGTGAAATCGGAGATTGGAGGACACATCGGAGGCAGCGAGATTTTGCGGCCGCCCTACCGTGATTGATGACAACGAGCATGTGGATATTTCACATCTCGTGCATGCGTACACAGTAAGTTGGTGGTGGTGGTGGTGGTGGTGGTAGTAGGGTACTAGTAGGGAAAGGATGTTGAGTTTTGTCTATTTCCATCCGAAACACTCGTTCCACTCGACAGTCTGTACTGATCGACCGACGGCAAGCCCTCCGTCGCCGACTCCGCGGGAAGCACGACGCGTAATCGAGGCTTAGTCAGACGCATCACCCGCTCTGGCAGTACAAATCCGCCTTGCCAACCCTCGTCGCAAGACGGATAGAGCCGTGGTATTGATTTCCGCCTGACAAGTGTTTCATCGCCAGCACACCAAGGCCGAAAAGAGTGGTGTCAAAGGGTAGAGTAGGGTAAGCTGTGTGTGGAGAGAGCGGGTTGGCAGAAGCCTGGTTTTGTTTGTTTTGCGAGCGGGCTGGCCAGCGAGGAGAGGAGGAGGAGGAGAGGAGGAGGAAGAAGAGGAGAGCATAGCCACGCCGAATGGGGCCGGGGCGTGGTATACTTGGTAGTCAGCCGCAGCGCCTTGGAGGATTGCGGTCGCAAAGGTTACGTGTGCCTCAGAGGCCAAGAGGGGATGGCAATCCGGACAAAAGCGGGGTCCCTGTGAGACGAAAAACACGTGATCCTCTCCTGCCAGCCAATGGCCATGCACATGGCGTGTGCTGCCAATTCCCGATTGGGCCATGTTACGAGCTGTCAGATGCTGCGGGCTTGTCGGTGGGAAAACAAGGGCGAACTGGCAGAGCCGTTGATCGTATTAAGATCCAAGGCATCTCCCTTTGCACACCGGCTGCTTTCTCCAAGTCTCTGCTCCCTGATTGATGAGAAATCGGTGCCCTGCAATCTGCGATCCAAGCCCTGGGTCAACCTCCACCCACGGTCGATATTCGATCCGCCATCGCCCGTAGCCCGTCCATCTTACGACGGTACGCTCACTGCCAGCCTGAGTCCCGGAAGTCCCGCGCCACACTCGCTCGCTCACCGGAAATTCTATTCACGCCGCTGTCAACCGGCCACCTCGATCAAATACGCTGGCCTGGAGGTTCTCGTTCTGTGCCACCACCACCACCACATACCAAACTTCCATCTCACTACCGTCCAACCCGCAACGCCCCCGCCATGTATCTTCCAAGAAGGGATGACATGGGTTCCATCATCACCCATCTTCAAAAGAGGGACAACATGGGCTTTACCATCGCCCCAGCCTTGATCATTTTTCTCGTCATCCTCGGATCTGGTGCGCTTGTCATCTGTGGCTTTGCAGGTAAGACGATTCCCCTACGCGTGTGCCATCGGAAGAGGGCAGGGCCTTTGCTGTCTAGTTGTGCGTGGGTCTAACGAAACCAGTAATGCGCTTCTACGGAGGCGATATAGAAGATCAGTCGAGTTACAATGCTCGCAGTCCTGAACAAGATGCGTATATGCGAGAGGTCAGGGAGCGAAACTGGAACAAGCTGCCGAATTTTGCCCACCAGCATCGCCGAGGCAATCCCAATCAAAACATGGCCCACGCTCCTATCAGTGCAACGTAAGGAATATTGCTCTGTCAGAGTCACAAACGACGATCTGACTGTGATAACAGCAACAGCACTACGACGTATGGGTGAAGACGCCGACAAAGGACAGGCCTTCTAACCTGTACTGATGATTGATGACGAAAACCAAAGAAGCGGCATGGAGGATGGAGGTCGCACATGTCTCGACATGGAGATGCGTGGTACAAGGGTCAGCGGCAGAAGAAACCGTTCTCAAAGAAGATCGAAGAACTTCTAGGTCATGGCACCTACCAACCCCGAGCGCCTGCCCACGGCCGATTCGTATCGCAAGGCCATAACGCAAAGATGGAAAGACCCTGCGAGACAGCAGCGATGCGCTCGAAAACGGTCGTATACACAGAGCGGTGGTGACGTCATTGGCGTCGACCTGAAGAGCCATGCCAACATTTGGGTGGGCGACCTACGTGATGAGGCAGCGTTCATCTGCAAATTTCCCATGTTTTCTAAACAGTCAGCCTTTTCCTACACATGGCAGAAACGAAGGTGTTTGCAAGGGTTTGTACTCTCCGAATCAAAAGCCAGTTGTGGCGACTGACCGTTTCGACCATTTTCAATAAATGTCCACAATAAGAGGAGTAGCAATGGCAATCAATTCTCAGCTGGTAAGCCACATGAGGTTGATGACCTGTCCAGATAACATTGCTTTGCTTAATGTGGGATGAAAATCCAAGTTCCGAAGTGTTGTCGTTCGAGTACTGTGAATATCCAGGTGGGACGGTATTGACCAAAGGATGATCGACACCGGACGGAACGGACTAGGGTCGTTCTTGTCTTTAGCTTCTCATTGAACCAAGTCGCTGAATCTGGCAACGAGCGGAAAAGCCTCAGGCTCATGCGAAAGACCTCAGGACCGGGAGATGACTCTTAGCAGACCTACTCGACCACCAACATCCAGTAGTCCATGCTTAGCTGACGGTCTGAACAGTCTGCCTAGTAGGACCGAATATGGGATGAAAGTTTGCCGGCCCTTGATGATGAGCCAGTTGGTATCGTGGGCGTTTAGAATGAGACTGCTGGAACTGTAGATAGAGTACTCTATGTTCGCTACAGTCAGCACGCTGGAATCGTCTATGACTAGGTATTTGGAGTAAAGATCTATCTGTCCTAGTCTATGTATCTGATGGCAACTGGCATGATGCTTGTACCAGTCCCTTGCAATATGACCGGTCTGGGCGTGGCCATGAGAAGCACCGTTGGGGTACCGGTATCGAGGGACAGATCAGGACAACTTGCTTTGATTCGTCTGCGCATACTATCCGTACAATCCAACTTGAACATCGGGTTCCGTCTCCGCGCAGCCATTGGATTTCTACCGATGATCGCGTCTGTTGATCAGGTTCGAATATAGAGGTCAGAACGGCGTAGTATCTATGGAGAGGAGAGAAGGGAAGAGAACCACAGCTCCAAGGGTCGGTATAAATATATGCCGATGCACTAAGCCTCTTGCGGGACCCGTTGGAGCTTCTCTTGACTGAAACTTGCCCGTTCACTACTCTACCATCTCCAAGCAATCATTTGTATACTTTGTAAATGCGCATCTGTATACGTCTACTATCTCTGTGTATACGTCTACTATCTCTGTTCAGCTCTGCAAGCTCAAACAGACATTGATCTTGCCATTCTGCGCATGATAGTACACAAGATCTACTGTTCACCTACAAACCTGGTCACCTCCCTGCAACTCATGGAAGCTTAGCATCCCTCTTTCGCATCACTTGAAGGATTACCGATCTGCACTCCACATCACTTGACCAACTCCAATTTTTTACTTTCACCAACCGAAAGACGGCAGACCCCCCGTAGTAGTGACCAAGTCGGATAACTGGGTACGTACAATGACGTTGTTGGCCACTGTTTAACCTCTTGGGCCGAACTACTTCACAGAACGTTACATCAGCTACCCAGCACTCGCGCATGCCCATGGGACTGTCGAGCGGGGTATGGCAAACGCGCAGGTGAAGGGCCAATTAGCTGTATGGGAACTTACCATGCTGCTCATCTCCGCAATTGTGCTTCTCATAACGCTAGTTCATGACCTTCGGCCCATCTTGACGAATACATATCTGTCTGCATCGTGGACCAACTTCCCTGCCCTATCCACATTCCTCCTCGCCATAGAAATGCAGTATCTCAAGTTACTAGGTGCGCTGTACAGTATACCGCTGTTGGCCACAGCACAATGTCCAGCCTACATAGGTTATGCTAAAGAGATTCATGAGCCTCTGAGCTCCGGCAAATACAAGCTTGCGTACCAGCGACCAACGGAAGAGTGCCGCACATTCAAGTCCCCGGCTCTGGAAGATACAGTCAAACGCATGGAAAGTGTCATTCGCGACCCCGATCTCTACCGCCTGTTTCAGAATGCGTATCCAAACACTCTCGACACTGCGATCAAATGGAAGGGAGTTGCAGCAGACAATGCAGACGAAGAGCTGACCTTCATCATCACGGGAGACATCGATGCAATGTGGCTACGCGACTCGTCCAACCAATTGCAAAGCTACCTGCCTCTGCTCAACGCCAGCAGCGAACCAGATTCGATTGCCAGTCTGTATCGCGGTGTCATCAACCTTCAGGCCCGATACCTCCTCACGTCACCGTACTGCAACTCTTTCCAACCGCCTGTAGAGAGCGGAATCGGAATAGCCATCAATGAAGCTGCAAGCCAGGACACGGTTTTTCCAACTTACTCCAACGACTCCGTATTCGAGTGCAAATACGAACTCGACTCTCTCGCCGCCTTCTTGCAGATCTCCACCGACTACTATGACGCCACGGGCGACGCCGAGTTCTTCGGCAAGTTCCACTGGGTCGAAGCAGTCGAGGCTGTCCTCAAGGTGGCGGAAGACATGAGACTCCCGACCTATGGCCCTGATGGCGCTGTCCTCACCAGTCCGTATACTTTTACTCGATACACCACACGTGCCACTGAGACCTTCGCCAACGATGGGCTGGGGAACCCAACAGCCAATGGCACTGGACTCATCAGGAGCGGTTTCCGACCTAGCGATGACGCTACCCTTTACCAGCTCTACATTCCTTCCAACATGATGTTCAGTTCCTATCTGTCAACCACTGCCGAAATCATGGGCCAACTCAACGATGGTAATTCAGCACAGCTTTCACAAAAAATGTGTGATTTTTCCTCAAGCTTGCGCGATGCTATTGAGACGCATGGCACGGTGCATCATATCAAGTATGGCAACATCTATGCCTTTGAGGTTGACGGATATGGCTCCAGAAACATCATGGACGATGCCAATATCCCCGGTCTTTTATCCGCTCCCTTCTTCCGCTATCCCGTCAATCCAGAGACTTATGCCAACACGCGCTCGCTCATTCTGAGTGCTGATAACCCATACTTTATGCGCGGCCCTGTCCTCAGCGCCATCGGCGGCCCCCACATAGGTCCCGGAATGGCGTGGCCCATGGCCTCGATTGTGCGCATCCTGACCACGGACGATAATGACGAGATTGTCCACGAGCTCTCTCAGCTTGTGAGCAGTACAGCGGGCTTGGGTTTGATTCACGAGAGCGTCAACAGCTTCAACGAGACCAACTGGACCAGGCAGTGGTTCTCATGGGCGAATGGATTGTTTGGGCAGATGATGTTGGATTTGGAGGACCGAAAGCCAGAGATTTTGGAAACGAGTTTTCAATGAGGCGTTCTGGCTCGCGATTCGAGTGGTAGCTATGGGCGGAAGAAGATGGATGTGAATCTACAGGGCGTTCTGCAGAGATGGGTAATGACTGGATTCATCGGAATGTCCACCACATTCAAGTATTGTAGTTCGTTAATACAAGAAACCATCCTTGACATTACTGTTATCGCAAGTGCATTCTCACTGTTCCATGATGATGTGCACACCAACCTCGCTTGCATTGGAAAACCCTGGACACCAGTGTGGCAAGGACAGCATTGAAGAGAAGGCTGTCAGTCTGAGGCACAGCACCAAGTCTCACTATCCAACCTGATGCCTGAATCGAGCGGCCTGGGGGCGTCATCGCTGCGTAACAATGCCTCCACGAAGGAGTGCTTCCCAGGCAGTGCGAAGCAACTCAAGTGGTGGCAGTGGGTGTCAGGTGACGTGCCAGGCCAGCTGTGCCACAATAAGCGCTACCAGTACCGGTACAGCAGAGCTTACAAGACCACCGAGCTGGCACTAGGTCGCACGCCTTCAGATGAGAGGAGTTGCCTTGGTTTCACATTGCATGGACAGTGAAGAAACCGTGGTGGCATGTCATATGACCATGGGTTTAGCGTCGGGCGACTTGGGCTTTACTCTGAGTGGTTAGAATATCCCTGTAGGTTCAAGTCCACGTTATAGCGGCAAATTTTTATAGTTATATAAACTAGCCTATAGTTAAGTATAAATTAGGGTAATTTAAGCAAGTAAACGTAGTTTTTATTACTATCTTTTTTAAATATATTCTAAACCTATTCTTAATAATATATAGGCGTTCCTAAATACTATACTAGAGTTTAGTATAGTAGTACTAGATAATATATCTAAACTAGATAGTAATATTAGAGATAAATTTAGGCAACTATATAAAGTGCTAGAGGAGGATAGTAGTAGTAGTATTAAGGAAGTAAGTAAAAGTAAATAGAATAAGTTTAGAATAGGTTAGTAACACGTTATAGGGGTATAATATATACCTTACTTATAGTAATAGTTAAGGACTACTACTTATACTAGTAATTATTAAGTATATAGCTATTCTCCTAGTATACCCTTAATTATATAGCTAAGGGTATAGGTATATAATACTAGTTTAGTAATATAAAGATAGCTCTTACCTAATAAGAGAAGAGGTGCTTATATAGGCTATATAGGTAACACGTTAAGAACATGTTCTTAAATTATTCTAATTCTAGTAGGTATAATATTCCTGCTAGTCTATCTATCTTAATAGGCCTACAACTTTACTATATTGCTTTCGAATAGCTAGCTAGCAAGCTAGTATAAATACTAATACTCTAGGGTAAAAGCGTGTAAGTATCTTAAGAACATGTTATAAATATATTCTTATTATATTATTAATAATATATTATATAATTAGATCTAAACCTTAAAAAGTGTAGTACCTAAGAAAATTCTATAAAGAGAACTATAAATAAGAAGCTATTATTATAGCCTTATTAAGCGCTTCTCTTTAAGGATTTATAAAGACTACTAGGTGTCTTATTATCCTATAATAAGGACTATAGTAAATTAAGTAGGGAGTAAAACTTAAATATATTTAAAACGTATTAATAATAAGTTAGTAAATTATAGAACAGGCTTAACTATATATTAGCTGTTAGAACTATAGCCTAATATCTACTACTAGGAAAAAATATTATTTTAGTTAGGTACTACTAGAGGTAGACTCTATATATCTATAAGGTCTTCTAACTAGGGAGATATTAAATCTTTCTAGTAGTCCTGCTTTATATTCTATAGTTAAGCTATAGTTAAGCTAGATAAAGAAGTGTGGTAGGCATATTGCAACCTATTCCTAACACGTTCCTAACATGTTCTAGGCATTAATTATCTATAAGGGCAAGGATCTCTATTTAAAATCCTGTGTAAAGTTACCTTCTAAGTAATTATACTAATAGATATAGTAGTAATACCTTTTTTTACTATTATTTCTTTTAGTATATATATATATATACCTCCTCCTCCCTTAACACTATCTAATAGTAATATTAAGGAAGTAGTAAAGGTATTATAGCCTATGCTTACTCTATAGCTTATATAATATAAGTTATTTATAACCTATTATAAATATATTCCTAACTTATTATAGCCTAGTTCCTAAACTTAACCTAGCTCTAAACCTATCTCTAACTTAAAGGTTTCTATTCTATTAAAGAAATATATATTAGCTTTATAAATAAAGATAAAATCTTGCGTATTATAAAGCGTAAAAAGCTTCTATAGTTCCTATTTAAAAGTAGCCTTAGAGGAGTACACTATAAGTAGAGGATAAAGTATTAGGATCCTAAAACTATACGTGGTGTAAGAGAATAGGTTTAGAACACGTTGCTAACACGTTACTATAGGCGTATATATAGCAAATCTTTATATTAAGCTTAAGTAACTTAATTATTTCGCCTTTTTAAAGAGTAGGTATTAATTCTATTAGATTAAGACATGTTCTAGATAGATATATTATATAAGAGGTTATATAGGGCATAGGTAGAGATTCTAATAGTAATCTTCTACCTATAGGAAAAGAAGCGTATATATTAAGAATAGGTTTATAATATATTTCTAATATATTATAGTTATTATACTTAGCTAAATTATTATAGATAAGGATATAACTAAGATATATTAAGTTGCTATTACTAACTTCTTTTAGAAGTGTAAAGCACTTATAAAAAGATAAGTGTTATAGAGGTATATTTACTTATAGGGATTCTATAGGACTACTATTAATATATATAACAAGTAGATAATAGGCAAGTTTTATAGCGCACTGTAACCTATTTATAACGTGTTTCTAACTTATTTCTAGGACTTAGGCACTATCTCTAGTTAATTAATCCCTATAAGCGTAACTAGTGCTAGCAACTTTAATCTTATATAAGATTTTGTTAAGTATATCTATAAAGAAGTATTTATAAAGCATATAAAAGAGAGCTAGATAATACTACCTCTTTATATCTAAGTAAATTACTATAGGTATTAATAGTAGAGGAATACTTTTAGCTTACTAACCTCCTCTTATGTAAGTAAATATATTCTAAACCTATTCTAAACGTGTTCCTAACTTATTCTTATATAATTAGAATATAAACCCTCTAAAGATACCTAAAACTAGGTAATCTATAAGAAAAACCTAGTAATTACTACTAGGATTATGTAATGCTATAGTAAAATATTAAAAGAGGTATAGGAAAAACTAGAATCTTATTTAAATATAGCTAAGCAAGTAGGCTAGAAAGGATATAAAACTAGTAAGCATGTAAGTATTCTTAAGGCTACTTAGAAGTAAGTTTATAACCTATTCTTAACCTATTAGAATTATATAAGTAATATTATATAGTGTATACTAGATAGATCTATAGGATATAAAAGAGTTTAAAGCCTAGAGCAAGTTTAGAATATGCTATAACTATAGAACTCCTAATAGGCTTAAGCAAAGGTACCTTAAAAAGCTTTAGAGGGGAGAAAGTAAGTCTTACGCTAGTGTTATATATATTTACTAATTAAAACATGTTTAGAATATATTTAGAACGCGTCCTATAATAATAATAACACTCTAGATAATAATAAAGCAAGTCTTGCTATATCTAACTTAACTAGATATATCTTAGTCCTAATAAGAAATAAAAGAGCATGCTTAAAAGCCTAAAGCTAGAGGGTAAGTAGTAGAGTAGTATTAGAAAGAAGTTTACTAGCCCCTTTTCTATCTTCTCTACTACTAGGCTCTTCTCCTCTACTAATAGTAACCTAAAGGTATGCTTTGCAAAATACGTTTATAATATATTCCTAACTTATTATTAGTCTATAACTATAAACTTTATAATAAAAGGCTCTTCTTAGTAATTAGGCTCTAAAGGAAAGAAAAGAAAAGCTAGAGGTAGATAAGGAAGAACTTATATAGAAAAAGGCACTATTTAAATTATAAAAGGCACAGTTTAAACTTAAGAAAGAGATAGCTACTTTTTATATAAGGTAGGGTTAGTTTATAAATATAGTAACTAGTTCCTAACTAGTTCTTAATATATTCTAGTCTATTATATAAGTATATATAAGTAGATAAATATATATTCTTTCTTCTTCTCTTTCTTCTTCTTTCTTCTTATACTCTATAAGAACTTTTTATATTTAAGAGTTTAATACTATTTTACTATCTATCTTTCCTAATATTATTAGATATAACTAGTTAATATAGTCTATAAAGATCTTTTAAAGTTAGTATATAATAGAACACGTTAGGAACACGTTGTAAACTTGTTCTAACACTAAGTAGGATTTATACTAGCAATATATTAAGCTTAAGTTACTTCTATCTAATACTAGGGTATTCTCTCCTATAATATCCTACCTAAATAAAGGGTGTATAGTATTTCCTAGTAAGCTTTTCTACTAGGCTATTTAGGCTAGATTAGGGGTATAGGAACTTTGTAAAGTATATATACACTGTAAGTTAGAATATATTTATAATATATTAATAACTATTTTAGTGTTACTTCTCTAATAGAGGTAATCTTATCTACTACCTTAAGAGGTATTATCCTAAGGTTTAAATAGCCCTAGTAAACTATAGTAGAATTATAATACAAGGTATTATAGAAGCAAGGATCTTCTATAGGAGCTTAATAGTAAATACTTAAGAATATATTCTAAACATGTTAATAATATATTCTCTACTAGTAGAGTAGACTACACTAAGTGCCTCCTCTAAGGTTTAAGAACCCTCTAAGATAGCTAGTCTATAATAAGAAGTAGTAGCTAGAGTAGAGGCTAAAGAGGAAGTAGAGAGTAAAGAAGAGAAGCAAATAGTTGCTCCCCTTTACACTGTAAATAATATTTAGCAAAAGTAGTAAAAAGGAGATATAAGTCTAGTCTCTTAAAATATATTTAGAATATATTAATAATATATTATAGCTAGATACCTATAAATACTAGATTCTTCTTTAATCTAAGGGACTACTAGAGCTTTATAATACCTATAAAAGTAAAAAGAAAAAGTTATATACTATTAAAGGACCCTATAAAAGTAAATAGTACTTTACTTTTAGTAGATAGAAAAAAAAAAGAGAAGAGTAGAGAGTTTATTTTAGTAATTACTACTACCCCTTTAGGTTATATACTATTATATATTATTTATTAGAACCTATTCTTAACACGTTCTTAATATATTCCTACTTATTACTATTATTATCTCCCTCCCCCTCTCTAGTATCTTCTCTATCCTCCCTATCCTCCCTAGGCTCTACAAAAGCATACTATAAGTAGAACTAGGTAGTATTCTAGTAGGAATTAGCAAGGTCTATACTAGTATTAAAGTAATAGTCTTAAAATATATTAGGAATAGGTTAATAATATATTATAAATAACTTACTATAACTAGGATAATTATAAGCGTAGATAGTATAAGGAACCTAATAACTGTAATAATAAGGCAGAATTGCCTGCCCATTGTTCCATGCCAAGTCTAGTCTAATAAAGGCCCGACTTACTAATGTATATAGAGAACAGCTCGCCTATGGTTAGGATAG